ATTAAACCATATATGAATTGCCTACTGGCACCTTCAACAGTATTTAGTTTGTGCAGTTTCTATCTCTTCTATGTACTTAATTTGCAGTATAAAAAAGCAGCCCATTATTTCTTTCCTAGCTGCTCTGTTCAGATACAGCTGCTGCATAGAGGACGATATGCAACCATTACAGTTACCGAGTTATTAGTGTGCCAGAAGTACCAAAGGCGTGTGGCATACAGCCTGTGTTTTGGCTACGTTTGTCTTCCAAGTTACAGAAGCCAAAACCAGGCATCGTTTGACACTTAATGCAAGTTTTTTCCAGTGCTGCTCTAAGCACTAACTCACGCAACTATTCACTGTGTATTCCCCATTTACACTTTAGAAGCCTGTAAAAGAATATAAGCATTAACTCTTAACTTAGATTACCTGAGTCAGAAGACTTAGTCATTACCTTACTTTAGAGAGTTTTGCATTTGACTCAATCCAGTGATAGGAAATGCATTCAGCTCTACTTGTTCCTGGCATCATTCCCAATAAAGGTTATTAGTGAATGTTTAGAAATGTGTAACTGACATTTATTTTATAGCATAATTTCCCAAATACAGCATAGCTCTAACTTTGTACTGTTTGGAGAAGACATTTATTGATAATCAAAATGCTGAAAACAATTCTTTTGAGCAAGGCAAAAGCTTACTCTCATTCTGTGTTCTCAGTACTGAAGATGGAACACTTTCTTTTTGAAATACTGACTTGTTTTCACTATACAAAATTGTTCACCGTACAACAGGTTGGCTTACCAAAGCCTATGCCAAAACCAGTTCAGCAGAAGCAAAAAGAGATGGAAGGTGAAGAATACGTCCGTCAAAACAAAGCCTGTACTGGGGTAACAGGTAAACAACTCCAAGATGAAGAAAAGCCAAGTCAATTAAACAGGATGCTTCACCAAACAGAGCCTCAGCAGGTGCGGATTTGGGCACTGCAGTAATAGGTGCTATCTCCTGGGAGGGCGTACTGCTCTGTTAGCTCAATGTCCACCTCTTGGGGTGGGCAAGGAAGAGAAGTGCTTGAAAAAAGCCCAACGCTATTTCACAAACTCCAGAAGTTGGCATATGCTTACTGGCTTGTATTGTTCCAAATGTGAAACTCGGAGTTTCTTGTAAGCCCAGGGAGTAAGTGCAAACAGGGCAGTACCCTAACCTGTCTCAAAGCTGACAGGTCCAGGTATTGGAATGGTACCCATGATCATTCTGAACGTTACTGAATTCTTTTCAGCATACAGAGTTACTATCTATCTGTACTGTAACAGGTTCACTTACTGAAGCCTTCACCGAAACGAGGGCAACAGAAGCAAAACAAGGTGAAAGAGGAAGAATTTGACTGCCCAAGCAGGGCCCGTGCTCGGGTAACACGCCGGCAGTTCCAGGCTGAAGAGACGCCAGTTAAATTTTACACTATGGTTCAGGAGCCTGACCACCCCCAAAAGGTGAGGTTTGTGGTGTTACCTTAGAACAGTCATGGCACCCTGCAAAAGAAAGATCCGCTTTTCTAAAAATAAGAGTTTAAAAAAAACCCCACAAACCAAACCCACACCACCACACACAAAGCCTAAACTAAATGTATGCAGACTAGATGTTTGTGTGTAGTTGCTTGGTCATACTATTAGCAGACTAACAGTCCAGTTTCTTCTATAGTTTGGTAGTAAAGTGCTGCACTTTGAGTCTGCACCAGTGTGCAGATAAAAGTGTTGGGAAATGGCGTTCTCCCTTTGCGGACCCTGTTGTTTTCTTGGTAGAAACTTACTTCAGCAGTCTCCTTTTCGCTAGTGGAAAACTTCATCGCACTCTTTAATTAAGGTCTTAACTACTAAAATCCTCAGATTAAAAAGTCAGAATTTAACTAACTCACCTCAAATAATATTGGTAATTTAAAAAGGGCTGAGTGAATGTATTCAGTCTTACTCTTCACCTGTACGTGGAAAAATTGAGGAAAAAAATTAATCAAGGTTTCAGTAAAAATACTGCAGAAGAAAGTACATCTTAAGGAGCACAGTGTGATTACTGTCTATGGAGTTGAAGTATATTTTAACAAAGAGATTCTACCCTCATTTTCTTTCTTATAGAAAAATAACTTGTTAAATGAGGACAATTTCTAATAAGCACAAAAATGCAACTTTAAAGATCGCTTTATTATTAATCCAAAATTCTTTGCTTCAAGGAGTCTGCTGATCACTGCCTGGAGACTCCGGTACAAGCTAGGAGAGTGAAGCAGAAAAAGCACAGCTGTACCTGAGAGCATCAGGCAGTAAAGTGGTGAGCAGAACACTTTTTGGAGATCTTTTGGCTGATACCACGGTAGACAGATTCTGAAAAGTCTCTGGAGTCCTGATACAACAGTGACTCAAAGTAACAAATACAACTTTGTAAAATGAAGATATTCCAGTGCTATTTCCCAGTCCTCAAATGCAAAATTCAAAAGATATTAGCAAAAAAGCTAGCAGATCTCCTCCTTCCTGTATAGTTTGTATAAAAGCTACTGTAGTCCTAAGACAGAAGTATATATGGGAAGCGAGCCACATTTAGGTTTTGCAACATGACAAAGGGAAAAAAAGAGCTGGTGTAACTTCCCCTGGTTACTTGAACAGCAAGCACGTGGTATGAGTTGTAGATCTTGACTCCGGGGAGTAACTTGGGGATTTGAGTTTCCCTCCTTTTTGTGGGAGGCAGGAAAAGTACATTTTCACAGAAAAAGGGACCAATGGCTGGTCTAGTATTTAGGTTATATTTCTGTGTTGATTTAGTTTACAAAGGAAAAAGCTGCTATTCCAGTATGGTTAATAACACTGCATCTATGTAGAACAGTTCTGTGGTACTCACTGAATATTATGCATAATAGGGGAGAGTTAAAATGGATGTCAGATAACATTTAAGATACTCAAATGAGAAACTGGAGAAGGAAAAAAATGCAGGATTGTCTTAGTTTCATTTTGCAGACTTCCTCTCAATTCCTTTCACATAATTTAGGAGATTGGTAAAGGAAAGCTATATAGGAAATTATTTACAGTACTGAGGTTATGAAAATTCAGGATTCCGCCAGCACAAAGCAGGGAAGAAAGCACCGGTTTCATGCAGGAACTAGAGCAGCGAGAGGCAGTCAAGCATCCTCTGGAGAGCAATTCCAAACACCTCAGTTAGGCAGCTGCCTGGAGTAGTTACCTGCAGGCACCTCACGCTAACGTGGGCGCTTAGATGGGATGGCCACCCTGTCGCCATGAACAGGTGATGCAGTTAAAGGTCTGAATACAGAACTTGGAGGGAAAGTTCTCTTTCTCCCTGCTTTATCTTTTTCAAATGTACTTCCCCCAAAACATCACATAGCTGGGACAATGAAAAATTAGCGGGTCTGCTTAGTAAGATGCTGCTGAATACATAATAGTACCTTTCTATCAGATAGGGCCCATCTTTCACTAAAGGAAAAGAAACTGACGTGTCTGTCACTAATTTGAAAGGGGAATAAAACAGGAAGACAGGAAATTTCTATTAGAGAAATACAATTTAGGTAATGAATTTTCAGCAAGAAAACTGTATGGCTCAGATTGAAATTGTGGGTTGTATTGCTAAAAATGAACATGTTGTGAATGGGATCACAGAAAGGAAACCAAAGCTGAACATTTTTGGTCAAGTCTTGGATGTGTGAGAACCAGAATTGTAGTGTCTGGGGATTCCTTTCAGAGATGGAGATCAAAAAGGTAAGCTGAGGAGGACATTGCTTCTGGAGACCGAAAAAGACCCCAGTTGCCCCCCTATCCAGCTAGAACAACCCCACTCTACTAGCAGCTTTATGCTCTCTGTGATCAGTCAGGAGAAGTTTAGCTTCACCATGAAATGCAAGAACTTATACAACTTTAAAACAGCAAATCAAACTTCAGAGTAATGTCTAGGGTTTCCAAGCTAAAGCTTTATTAGCAGGAACACTGTAAAGACTTAATATATTAACAGTTTTTGGAAACAAAGATCGAGAAGAATTTCAGCTGTTGACTTCAATAATAAATACAGAGTATGTCTCGTGAAGGTGTTTAATCATACCTAATGTCATACACTTCACATACAATGTACTTACACCTGCAACTCCCAGAATTGAGACTTTATAAGAAGTGTATTGCTTTCTCTAGGATAACTTACAATACCTAGATGGCATCTTTGTTTTTCCAATTTGCATCTCACTTATTCAATATTAGTTTATTATTACTATTTTTTTCCTGCAGAAAGACACTGCAAGAGAATTACCACCATTCAACCCCCGAGCAGTATTATTAGAATGCAAAAAGAAGCACGATCAACTCTTAACTACAGATCACCCGGTATCATCGCAAGAAGCTGCTTCTGACATCACTCGTCCTTCTGTATCTAGTATATTGAGGCTTGCATTTACTGATGAAACATACCACTACAGTATAGCTATACTTGTACTTCTGCTACTAATATTACTTTCCTTGTATTTTCTTTGATGTCGCTGTTTCAGTGTCTTCAGTGCAAGTGCAGTGGTGCTCCCGTCACAGTTTTTTTCTCAGAGTTTCTTCGTTGAAAATTTCAGTGGCTTGAAAAAAATACATATCTTTTACAGGCAAGTTCTCTTAAACTTTCCAAATCTGCACTCAGTAGTGACGTATGCACTGAACTATTTGTACAAGGCTGGTTTGGGTTACAAATCTTGGGATTTGGGGTTTTTTTTGAAACTGGACCTTTGCTACAGCAACATTAAAGTATCATGAAATACAATGGGGCGTGACACTTAATTACCGTGACACTAGGATGTTGATAACCGGTGTGTAGCTGTCTTTATAGTGTTTCAGAAAATCTTTAGTTTAAATTCCCATGCATTTAATGCATGGGAATTTAAAGTTTTCCTCTCTTTCTTCCACTGTGTAAAGCGAAGACAGTAGCCACAAACTCTATTTATAAAAAAGACCTTGTTACAGCTTTTGCCTTAGTATCTAAGCTACCACACTCTGTTTAGTTCACTCACTCCTTTTCATTGGATTTCCTTACCTTGTTACAATACGGACATTCACCAAAGATGACATTAAAACTCTGTCTGCTAGAAGGAAGACCTTGTAGCCACTGCAACACAAGTAAGTGGATTAAAATTCACATTTGTTTCATATCAAATTTAAGAATGATCTATTACCAGGGGTTTTTGCAAACGGAGTTCATTTGATCAACACCTGACATGGTGCGTGTCAAGTCAGAGCCTGTATAAGCACAAAGCGAGGCAGGTTCCCTTCCACAGGGAGCTCGTGTGTGAATTGCAGCTTAGAAGATAGGAGGAAGCACAGTAACTGTTGTAGCACTCCTTAAAGGACTTTGCTGCTTCTGAAATTTAAGTGGGCAATGCTTATTTTCTAGAATTTGTGAGTTAATGTGGAAATTTGTCCCATTAATTACTTTACCTCATACAGGCAAGCCTGGTGAAAAGGTTGTCCGCAGCGGGGATCATCACACACTTGATCAGGAGTAGCGCCATCGAGGCGATAGGCATAGCAGATTCCACAGTCCTTAGTAAAATCCTGAAAACACAACCTGGTTTAGCTTACAGTACAACTGAAAGGAAGAAACGGGGCTGGTAACACAGAAAACGTGTTCATCTATCTGTCTTTGCTTTTGCGGTTTTTGTTACTTGGAATTACTAAATATTTTTGCCTTCAGTATATACGGTTACACCATGATGGCATAAAGAGTGAGATTAGTTGCCAAATGCAGAAGCCTTTACTAGGTTATATTTTACCCTCTTACTGAATTGTGTCTAGTTTGACAAGCATTTTCATACTCCTGGGCCCCATTGTTTCGTTTTGATGAAACACAATGATTTGTCGTTACATGTGGGCCTTAGACACAAGACCTCAGTCAGATATTAATTTCAAAATTTCCCAAGTGAAAGCGAAGCTAGTAATCCAGTCTTACTGCATTGTCAAAAATTAATTCCAAGTTTGTTTGAAATGCACCAGTATTTGGATGGCCTCTTGTCCCCTCTAAGCAGCTCTACCTAATTACAACTGAAGTCATCAACATCCATAGTGGAATGTTTGGATTTTCCACATCTCATTAGCTACTCTGGAACTTCCTCTTCCCCTTTTACGAGGGAAGCCTGTTATTAATCGCCTTACTGCTATGAAGGCCACAGGAAAGTGTGCACCTCTCATCAAAGGTTAACAAGCTCTGACAATTGTTGCTTGAAGTTCAGAAGTCCTTATGACAATATATTAATCCAATTACCTCCCTTCTAAGTCTCTTATTTTTGCTGGCAGTTATAAAGCGACCATTTAAATTTTACTTACTCAGAAATAACGACTGATTATTAACAAAAAGCAACTTACACTTTTTTCTAACACAGCACGAGATGGAAAATCAATTTCTAAGAGGTCTTTCAAGTTTTGTAATAAACTGATTTCTGGATCCCTGCAGGTGGGAGAGGAAAAAAAAAAGTCAACACTAGGAATGGCAAGTTGCATTTCAGTTTCAAACCGATACATTAAAGATGCTTACCATAAGTGCATGTTGTTGTTCAGCTTAATTCTCAAAGGGTTAACCACTGCAAACAATGTACATAAATAATTACATCATCTTTAGGATCTCCGTTGCTCCATCTCATTTCAGCACTGAAGGGGAAGGCACGGGTTGGGTTTTCTTTATTATTTAAGGTACATAAGTCAATGACTGCTCTTAGTTTTCAGTTTTGGGAATTCATTACTGTAATATTTAAAAAATCATACCATTGAAGGTATGATCGTAGTTACCTTAAAAAGTTGGTAAAAAGCTGTGGGACACCAAGTAAAAGACTTCAATTTCCAAACACTATTAGGACATATAGACTAAATCTTTAATTATCTATTTTTTTAAAAAAGAAAATTGTATTAAAATATAGGCACGCTTGGGTAATCATCTGTAGGGGACAGGGTTCCCTCTAAACTGTGCTGGGAAAGCACTGGAAGAGAAGTGTCACTCACAGAGCAAACCCACATGCTGTGGATTTAGGCTGTTAAACACGCCAGCATCCACTGTGTGTAAGGCTCTCCTACACATGGACGCAGCTTCACCCCGGCTCTGCTTCCAAACAGTTTACCCCAGGCGTCTGACGTAGCTTACACCGGTATCTGCTCACCAGGGGTCGGATTCTAGAAAGGAAACAAACGGTGCGTGGCTGCTGCCGTACCGTGGTCTGCGCCAAGGAAGTAACACTCGGGGAGCGTGTTTGGATGCCGAGGGTCTACCTCTATGTTCACCGAGACGTTGTTCCCTGCAATGAGAGAGCAAGTAAGTCACAGGGGAAGCTTTTCTTTGCAGTCAAGTATTTGAAAATGGAAACGTTAACCTTTTTTAAAAAAGCAGTTTTCAGTTGGTTAATTCAGGCTGTTTTTCATGACGCTAAATAATAAAAAAAGTTGGTAGGTATCCAAATTAATTGTAGAAGATATCAGTATATAATAAATATTTAAATTTCAATGGACTGTAATTAAAAATAGCAACTGATTAAAAAAAATCCTGCCAGTCTTACATTTCTTTTAGACTAGTCTTAACCATAACACTTAGACTTACTTCTGACTAATCAAACTTGAGCTAGATGACATAATCCATTTGAAATCTTAGTGAAATTTTAAAGGTAGTAGAGATGGAATTGTTATTAATTCCTCATTATCTTTTACAGTCAAAGAGAGAAGTGTAAAGCCACTATTAAGCAGTAAAAGTCAGTTCCCTCCACAGCGTACTGCTGACTGAGCGAACAACGGCCTACTTTTGAAACGGCAAATATTTTTCTTTTACAAATACCCCATCACCCTCATAAGGCCTGCTATAGGTAAGGGGTAAGCAGCTCCAAAACGTTCTGAATCCAGGTTAAAAACCTCACAGCAAATTCTCTTCTAACTAAAAACAGGTGAAACCCAACGTTTTTTGTAATTAGGTACATTAGGCTTTCCCACCTTGAAGGAATCAGAATGAATGAAATCAAAGTTTAGTCTTAACTGAAGATTGTCTGTGACCAGCAGCACAGGGCTCAAAGCCTTGTCCTGCCCTCCACTGATCGAACACAAGGCGCTTTTTGAGGCTTTGCTTTCCTGTTCGTTGGTCTGTGTCAAAGTACAGCAGAACCAAGATAAAGCCACACACAAAACCCAGGAGCGGTGGCCGACCCACGTCATTTTAGACAGTTGCTGAACAACTTGTGTCCCTCCCTCCGCCCCCAACAAAGGAGGGGCCTCGGCACCCCACGACCTCCTTTCCTTCTCCACTCTGCAGGCAGTCAGGCTTTCCGCAGGTTTCGGGGACAACTTAGGTCCACTTTGGTCTGCTGTCTGTTCTCAGGTTTCTACAATAGGCTATTGATATTTTGGATTTAAGCTACGTATCAGGACTCTTCTTTCAAAGATAAGATTTCCCCCCCGTATTTCTAACCTCTGACAGTGGCAAGTCTCTCCTTTGCAATTACAAGATTCCTTTCCCTGTATATATTATATATCCTAGTCTGTTAAAAACAAATCTGGAATTTGTGAATGAGACAAGGGCTTCATCTAAGCTGATTTTTTACAAGTAGTGATTCTTCTACAGTTATCATGCAAGTCCTCAGTTTGTGACAGTTACATGTTCATAATTTACAAATACACAGTATTTTCCTGCAGAAACTTTCATTTTATATAACACCATAAAGTTTCATTTCCTAAACACGTTCAGTATTGTGTGGAATTTTTAATACACAAGAGAGTTGTGGCTTGCTGGTTTTAAGTGCTGCCTTGCATTTGCCTAACTCCAACAAGCACCACCCGATGAGACAAGCAAAGCCAACCAGCGCCCTCAGTTTTACTTCTCAAATCCACTGTACTCCTTCAAACCTTTTTGTACCTATTGCAATTCTTCTTGTTGTAGCACCCCGTGTGGGATTTTCTGGCTCAAGCACCCACGTCTTCCCATCAATTTCGTCCATGGCATCCCAGAATTCTTTCAGTGATTCTAATGCCGCCAGGAACTGATTATAAATGTCTATTAAGGAGTTCTAAGAAAAGAAGAAATTTAAACAAAGTTCAGATAGTTTCCACCCACAGCCCTACAGAATACTTAAAAACCAAACCATAGGTAATTTGTCTTAAAATCTAGTGTCTATCCAACTGTATCGTGGTAGCATAAAACGTTGAGCCGCACAGGTTTTTTAACGGAAGCAACCCAAGTAAAGAAGAGCTGTTTCCTGAGCACAAGCGCGTGCTCTAATCCTGGTAGTTGTAACACGTTGTGATCCACGTACATCATACCTGGATTTGAAAGTGTCTTATACTCCTTCTCAGAAAACTTTCCTGAAAACTGGTGACAGCTATTAATTTGCGTTGTAACAAACTACTGTAAAATGAAAGTAAAAATCATCATTATCTACTCTTAAAGTTCTAACATTCTGATATTTTGTCTCTACTTCAGCTGAGCAACATGGCAGTGGTTCCAAATATAAATACACAGAAATACCTGCATAACTAAAGTAGCTTTTTTTTTTTAAAGACTCTATGAAATATGGGCTAACAATGTCATAATTATCTCAAAATTAAGCAGTATAAAAACAGGTACTTAACATTAGATTTCAAGCCATTAAGTATGGTAAGAGAAGGAGAAACCACCTAATAATCAGAGGATTACACTCAAGGGATTTCAATATTTGAGAGTGGATTAGATGGAATCAGAAAAATCTTTCATTATACAGGACAATATACAGAACGGCAATGCAAAAGAAGTCTGTTTAAAATCATCACGGAGCACACAAAAGAACTGTTTCTACAGGGAAAGACTTCTTCAAGTAGAGAAAATGCTCAGCAGTCATGCGAATGACTTCCCAATGCAGATGCCCAGAGGGTACAAACCACGAATTTAGGGAACCCAGAGGAGGTGGGGAAAGCTCGAGGAGGAAAGAGAGGAGTTCCGTTGGGAGTAACCCCCCCCCATAGGGGTTTTGAGCCCAAGGTCAGACGGAATCAGGGGAGGGATGGGCCGAGTCACGAACAGTGGGAGAACAAGGAACAGTCAGAACGTGGCTTCGTGGGGAGAGAGGAAGCCACGACAGGAAAAAAGTGAAGGTGTTAAGGAACCGGACAAAGGCGAAGGGAGTGAAGGGAGATCAGGGGCGCGCAGGGAAGTGTTTGGGAGACAGGCTCTTCCCGGATAACTTGTTTTCTCAAATTGTTTGGTAGTGGGGAAACTCAAGGGTAGAAAAAGAGGAACCACGTGGGAGCACCAAAGGGTATCTTGAAATTGTTTACACAGAACACAACCGAACAGTTAAATGCACGAGTAAAAAGCTGGAAGGATAGGAGAGAACCGACAAGACCTGTTCAATTTGGATAGCGAGATGGTAAAGCACGCTTTTGAAAAATAAAAAGACATGACAAGGGCCAGACTTCAGGTATCTTTTGGCCTGGGAACAAGTTCTTGGGGTCAAAAAGAAAAAGCAAATTAAACATTCAGTTCTTAAAGAGGTATTGTTCTGTAAATAACACAAAATACACATGGAACAGTTTCCTTTAATCTTTAGTAATTATGTTCTTCCTTTCTCACCCGGACAGAAAGAAGCAAATTATATGAGCATTCTGAGATGAAGAAATATGATTTGTATATGTAATAAGTTTTTATATTTTATGCATACATATTTTAGAAAGAAACGGCGTCACTTAGAAATAAAATGCTACTTTTTTCCTGCTGTTATTAAATTATATTAAAGTAGGAAAGCACTTAAGCAGAAAAGTGTGAATACTGCCAATCTCAAAATGTAACGCTTATTATCTTTAAAAGCATTTTGTTACTTTTATAATACCTGAAGTGATATAATAGTGTCAGTCACTTAACCACATCTTAGAGTATAATATCTTCATCTTAAGTACTATTATTTCCAGTATTTTAATAATTTTCACACAGTCCTGAAATGTGATCTTTTGTGCTCTGATGACACTTAAATTAATAGCATAATTTTCTGGTACTTGCAACAGTTGCTTTCCATTTTGATTTTTTACATTTTTCTATATCACATACAGATAAATCCTCTAATAATCATTTTTATCTTTATCTTCCGGGAATTCAAAGGGTTTCACTAGAAAAAAGAAACATCAAGGGATTATAACCCACAGATAAGTTTTAAAATCCAATTAATTTTAATACTAATTGTAATTTTTCAATGATGTTCCTTAAAAAGGTAGTTAAATCTTTTTTTTTAATGCACTGTTCATTTGATCTTATTTGCATGCTTCATTGATGTTGCCAGCTGTCTCCTGCTATATACATAAATGCATCTATAGCTATTTAAATACATCACATGCTTGTCATGCAAACCATGAAAACTGTAACATTCCTTTTTATTTGATTAACCAACTAATTTTTGGTCATTACCCAGCATTTTTCTAGAAGACCACTATCATGCTGCTTTTTTTTTTTTTTTGTCTACACTACACCAAGTCAGTCATCAATAATGTCAAACACTACAAACTCTTTGTTTCTTGGTCACCTTTGTACAAATGCACTAGAATTTGTATGAAATATGTCACATATTCTTTGGAAAAGAAGACATTCATAATTCAAGATGTCATCACTGGCTGCCCTGGCTCTAAAAAGCACGAGCAAAACCAAACTGGTTACTCCATCATCTGTATCCATTAGGTTTCCATGCTCATCAGCCAAAACACCCGTTATAAAAAACAAAGAACATTGTGGCAGTTTAATCTTTCACAACAACTTAAACCAAAAGGAAGGTATTTTTAATGTATAATATAAACCTTGCATTTTATTTCTAACTGCTGAGGATACGGACATCAGCTGCCCATAGGAGTAGCAAGGACTGGCTCGCAGGGGTGGGGAAATACCAGCACTAGAAGAGTCACAAAACCTTAACGCAGCTTTTTGTGCAAGCGGGTACCACTGTCTTTTCTAACTTGACCACACGCCGCTCTTTCCCCCTGCGCCGTGGGATGGCTGACGCCTGTGGCAGCGGCTGGAGGGCGATCCCCCGGCAGCAACGCGCCCGCGTCCTGAGGCTGACCACCGGGCGTTACTGGAGGCGGTGCAGAAGGCACGCGGGAGGGCGCGGTCCAAGCTGAAACACGGCGCCTGATGCTGACCAGACCTTCTCGAGTAAACCAACCATAGTGGGGACAAAGAAGTTTCTAAGATGAGGAATGGGGAGTCCACCATGAAACAAGGTCAAAAAAGTTTTACCGGTTTAGATTAGCAAAACAGCGTAAGAGGTGATGTCGTTATTAACTGCTGTCACCTACACAATGGAGCCGTACAAGGTACCCAGAGCTAGGGCTGGCTGAAGGACCCATCGAATGTGAACTCATACAAAAATCAGGAGCTGGAGCTGGCTTCCTCTGCATTACAGCACCGAGCTCCTGAGAAAGCCCAAAAGTCCCACGACACCTCACTACTTTCAAGTGGGAGCTTGGTAAGTTACGACAGAGAGAACGCTGCATGATGTAATGATCCTGTCCCCTTTCCAGCTCTCTATATTGACCTCCACAGCAACTGAGCAGCCCAAAAACATCAATGAGTTTATCATCAAAACACATTTTTGGATTAGATGGGCTTGTTCTGAGTTTTCATACGGAAAAAGAAGAGACTGAGAAAATGTTAGTTTGGAATACTCAGCTTGAGATCCCTTCATCTGGCTTTAAGAGGACTGTTTGTATTACAGCATCACCTCCAGTGACCATAGTGATAGCTTTAAGCACTCAACACTTCTCCAGATTTTTCAAATTTGAAGTTGTGAGCGTAGAAAACAAAGAATACAGTTAGTGATGACTTGTGAAAAGGCCCTGTGAGTGATTCTCAGCACAGTTTCCTCTCTCAACAAAGCATATATTCAGCCTCAAAGTCCTAGTTATTCAAGGCTGAGGCGATGATCTGATACACACCGATACAGTCCTTTGGACTGAACGGCAATTTAATGTTAATTTGGAGGGCTGTGATTCTGTCATCTTAACTTCTGAAAACAGGTGCCTGTAGAGACTGGGTTAAATCAGTTATTTTACAGCAAAACAGACATGTAAGCATATCAACCTCGATGATTCCCCAGCAGTTTCAGAAAACTTTGACCCAAAAGTTACCTCTGTGTTATCACACTGCACATATCCTCCATTCATTTCAACAACTGGCAGGAGACAAAGCACTTAACTTTGGTCAGGGAAAATCAGATATTCTGGACCTATCTGTCTCTGCAAGGAACATACCTTCTCTTCTACCAGGACAGAGTCTCCTCTAGTTTTGCAACATTTTTGTTTCCATTTCTATCCTCTCCACTCTCATCTCCATCTCATCACTGGTAGCTCCTCACACCAATTCTTTTCTTCTTTTTTTACTTTTTTCCAATTCAAAGTTTACCCCTATTGCCCATACACGGTTTCATTCAATTAAAGGAACAGAAAGGAACAGGAAAAAAAAGTCACGCTACTCTTGGTTCTTATTTCTACAGCCATAGAGGCTGGGAAGAATAAAGAGGAAGCCTTGAGTTTGCACCTGCCATAAAAATCCATGAAGCCTTTCAGTAAATTTTAAGAAGTGCTATACGTACGTATTTCAAACACCCACTCCAAATCCTGGATGAACTAAACATTAACCAAATGGTAGTAAGAATGTTCTAATTAAGGTAAATACAGCACAAGTTCGTGATCTTTATTCTGAGATATTTTTGCTAAAATTCTTCCCAGCATAAAATTTTCTTATCCAAAATTAAAACAGCTGCAAAGCCTCCTAATAGAAAAGGTAAAGTAGCCCAAACTATAAGTGCTGTTACCTGCTTGCCCTTTATGAATTTCATAGATAGAATACAATTTAATAAAGTCAACAGTTGTTGGATGGAAAAGGGATCACCTGTATCACCTAAATAATTTATGATTCTTTAGATCTGTTTAGAAGCTGTTAATTTCTCACTAACAGCAGTTTAACAATTTTCCCCCTCTTAGCACAAATCAGACTGAGAGACAACACTCTGAAATCTTTATAAAAAGTGTCTTGTCAACCACCTCCATTTTTTATATTTATAGATGCATATAAAGCTGGTGTCTGTGAAGCTCCTTTGCTAAGAAAAAGCACAATTATGATGCATTTTATTGTGTTTTCATCAAAATAACGAGAGAATAATCTCATTCGTACCACTGTACCTTCTGAATCTTGTATTACTGTTTCGTTGCTGGCTGGCTGCATGACCTCATTAGTCATTAATTTCCACTCTCATGACCTTCATGTAGCCAACCAGGTGGGCAGTGGTCAGTATAGAAACAATACCCCGATGTGAGGGCAGCATACAGATGCACTGAAACTGCAGAACCATGCTTACGGTGTCTGCTAAAATGCAGAGACAGCACATTTATCTGGTTATTTAGAAAAAAGAATATAACTGAAATAAGTAGATGTTCTTGCACTTGTCATTGAGAAGCACTCTGCATTTATTTGGCACTTAGAACAGTAGCAGCAGCAGCAGCATTGCCCTTGGTGCTGATTTCTTACTACTCTAAAATGTCTCCTCTGAGCCAGAATACACTGGCTGTTGCTGATCATGCTGTGAGACACCTGCACTGGCTACTAGGCTTGTCATGACGCACAAAACCCTACCATCTTCAGCTTGACATTGTGCAAGTTATAATTATTCATCCAAATGAATATGTCAGAGCAGCAGCAGCAGACCTCTCATCAGAGCAAAAGAAAAATACATCAAAACATTATCAACCCAGCAGGAAGACAGGGACCATAAGGAAAATTACCCATTTTTAATATGGATGCCATAAAGCCATGTCTATTATTATACAGAGGGAAAAAAAAAAGAAAAAAAAAAAAAAAGAAAAAACCACCACCCAACAACCCCTCAAGTTTAAAGTCCATAAGCACTGAAAAGAACCTGAAATAGGCAACAGCATACATGGGAGGTGGGGAAAATAAAAAAAATCAATTACCTGAAATCTATTTATATTTTCTTTCATAGAAGTTTATATTTTAATAGTGCAATTGTACAATTTTAGCTAAGCCTTGTCAGTTTCTACATTAAAGATGACCAACAAATATTAAAATTCAAGACTTAGTGTCAAAACTTCCTGTTATTTTACTAGAAAATAGGTACAGGCATGCTCTTTTTCCCTTTCAGGAACAAAAATTTTCAACCACTTGAGAACCTGATAAATTCTGCTACCTTTGGTGCTTCAGCATTATCTAAGCTTAACCCTTCTTTTCCCACGGCGCAAAGACTGCTCACTGCAATGATTTCCATGCGTTTTGAAAATAAACACAATTTACACAACTGCTACACACATTGTTTTTCCAAAAGTGTTAGGCTCATGCAACCCACAGAGATAAGGTCGATTTTCAAAAGACTCTACAACCCAAGGGTTTCTAACAGCATAATGCACAGGTTGCTGTATTTGGTTCGGTATTACTACAGGCTATCTGCAGCTACAATTAGCATCTCATGATTTCAAAACGGGGTCTTCAGTTACATACATACTACTATTGCTCAGGTTTTCAAATAATCCATAGGTAATTCTAACTGTAAAAAGATTTGAAGATCTCAAGCATTAGAATGTCATATTTTTAACATTAAATTTTTACTTGCTTGTAGCATCAATATGAATATATTTGCTCCCATCTTTAACTTGTCAAAGAAGGCTGCTTTGTATCATGTTTTGCAAGAACATTTTATTTAAACATAAGTCCCGTTAGCAGCTTTAAAATTACTAACAGTAAACACAGAGAAGCAATGACTGTCAAGGATATTTGAAGTGTTGTTAATTTGAGGCAACATATATTGCAAGGCTGTAAAATTAATAAAATACTATTAAAAGTATGTATAAAGTTCAAGGTTAGAAACACGACTTGAAATCCTGCCTGTAGTATATGGAATCCAGTATAATTTAAGGGAAAAAACAGTATCTGTTTAAATTGCTCCAAGCCACACCAGAGAACCAAAACCTAAAGTTACATGTGAAGCTAAATATATTTTTCATTTGCAATGGTCCATTCTTGCAGTTATTTCCTCCAGCTCTCATACTGGACACACAAAACCTTGAGCTTTGCAGGCAAAATTATATGCCCGTCTTAAAATCATTCCGATGCAACCTTTCAGCCATGTTCCCTATGTAAATTTAGTCCCATAAAGACAAGCTTTATTGATGGGTAGAAATCCTCGCGAGAGTTTGAATTGTGAAATGCCATCATTTATGTAAAATCTGTTTTCCTGAATTAAATGAAATTAAACATCAACTATTTTTTAGAGATTATTCAAATGAACTTACATCTAAGTGGCCATATTTAAATCCATTTAATCAAGTACACATGCTCTATTAAGGAAAAAAGGTACAGGAAATAATGCAAGAGAGACTCAAAGACGACAATGGCTCTTGGTTTATACTAACAATATCAGTTAAACTAAGAAACCAGAATTCTATTAAGTACTTTCCTGTTGTTCTTTTGATTGTAACTGAAAAAGTTTTATTATGTTGTGAAAACTATATAGGATAACAAACTGGGGGACCACCTTTTTTTTAAAATGTCTGTCAACTTCAGAGGGTGCTTCTTTTCTATAAGATAATTGTTTCTCATGCATATATTTTCCCTATATAATTCCTAAAGATATTTCAGCTGTATGAACAGCTTAAGAAAAAAACAGCCAGTACAAGTGCAAAGCATACAACATGCAAGGTATATCTGTATGGCAAGGAAAATATTTAAAAGACTATCATAAGGAGTATGGAGTTCAGTATTATTACGTTTACATAAGCTTGTATAAAAGTAAAACACACACATTAAAAAAATAAAAGTCCAACCCCTCACTACCACTTACATATTGCATATGTATCTCAGTTATCTTTTTTAAAGACGTATAGTACAGCAGTTTACCTGTGGCATCCAAGAAATAGCAAACTGAACAGGAAAATCCACAAGGCAATCCGGTGGTTCTGTTGGATACTGAGGGAGGGAAAGAAAATACAGTTTTTCTTTTAAGTGCTTTAAAGTCAGACTGATACTCAGCTGCCAAATTTGATAACTAAATATGAGCACTTCAAGCATCTTGAGAACTTGGCTCTTAGAGGAAACAGTATGTAAAGCATTTTCAGAAATAGTTATGAATGTTAATGATCATTTAAAGAAGAAATCTACATGTTTTTATATATCAGTTTTTAGTAAAGGCAGGAGAATAACAGTTTTCTGTGTTCAGTGTTCACAAAGACACATTAAAAAAGAACTTCAGACAAAAAACATCAAATATTTAAAAAAAAATTCTCCTCAATTACCTGCACTGGATAGAAAAGTTTAAGAAAGTTTAAAAAACAAAGAACTTTTTCATGAATCAAGAACTAATTTTCATTTAAACTAGCATATTTGCTCTGATTGGCAACTTTTTTTTGTTTTGAAACTGAAAATAATCAGAGTAAGTACATAACTATTTAGAAAGAGATGAATGAACGTACACCCAAAATTAAAACAAATCTCTGCCCCAAATTACAAGGTATCAATGAGGAAAAGAAAAAAGAGCTGTAGTAAGAAAACTGAAGCTATAAAAGGTTTGATAATTCCAAAAATAACCACTGACTATTCACTACACTAGTAAATCTATTGCTGTTCAGTATCCAATACGAAATCTGTGGGAAAAAAAACTGGGATTTTCTGAAAAATAAAGTAGCAAACGAAAGCAACATCTAATTACAAATAAGCCATGTCCTTTCTAAGAGCACCTATCCAAAATTTTATTCACCTGAGAAGTTGCCTCCTTTAGTCCTATGCAACCTTTCAAATTCTGCCAATGATGTACGCAGCAGTTTTATAGAAATTGTGTTAGTATTGCATCAACTGCCAACACAAGGAAATGTTACAGAGAATCTTATCTGGGGAGACGAATGAAAAAAAGTCCCAGTTTCCTCACAGAATTAAAGAGACTTAAGAGAAAGAGCAAAGTTGAGCTGTGCTGCTTCCCATAACCATTCTCCACCCAAAGTAAACCTCAGGACATAGACGCTGTTCTTCAGACATCTGGCAATCAATTGATCAGAATTTTTTAAATGTGTCTTTATTTCATGTAAAATGTAATTCTGCAGTAATTGGTTTCAAATTGTTCTCTATGGCAAAGAGCAAAAAAAAGACATAGCTTCTCTAGAGCATCCACTCTTCATTGCTAGTGGATTCATGGATTTCACAAAAATTTGTTTAAACTTGCTTTTTATTTCACCTTCATTTGTGGTTTCTGTTAGGTATCCACTTTATGAAGACAATTCCTACAATTTGAGTATCTTGTGCTTTACCATTTTATCAAGTTGGTGGCAGACAAGTTAAATAACAGTGACAGAGCAAGAGAAGCGAAACAACTAATTTGGACAGGAGGCAGTTACAACTTAGAAATGTATATCCACAAAAACTGTTTAAATTTCTTTTATTGTAGCGTTACTGTTCTTGTATTGTAGGCACTGTAGTGTTAGTGGGTTTGTATTGTAGGTATTATTTTTCATGAAATACTTCAGTGCTTGCATAGAAATAAACTTGTTTTCAATGTATAAAAGTATGCCTAGAACAAACTAAGTCAGAACAATTTTCCCGTAGGATTGGTTTTAGGACTACCTCATTTAAATCCCAGCAGCACTAGCCAATTATGGGTTTACTTTCCCGGTAAGTAAATTCATTTATGCAGTCTTTTGTAGGGTGCCTTTGAACAAGTGCTTGCAAAGAGATTCTACTAACTTTATAGTACTTAAAAAACAAACAAAAAACAAAAAACCAAACAAACCAAAAAACCTACAGCACTTTTTCCCTGTGTTTTTAGTCAAATTTTCTTTAAGTGCACAATATTGTACTGTGCAACAGATAATTGCCAAGAACTACGCAACAGTGATTCTGTACATATGTACATAATGGTTTTAGTCCTTGCAGAGTGAAATCCTGTATAAAATAAGGTGAGCGATTCCCCAGGAGCTAGTATTTTAAAATGCTATAGGCACAGCATATCAATGACGTCATAACATTCAAATGTGTATGTCAGAAATCATCCTATTATTCTTTAGCACAGTTTAAGCAATTATTAAACAAAATATTTATATTGTATTTCTGAGTATGCAGCTAACTTCGTCTAGAAACAGTATTTTCATAACCCTTGCCAAATCATTCAGCTAATTACCAAAGCACCTTGATTACTGCATGGCATGCAAATTCTAGCAGTGGCCTATTTGAATTCTTGGGAGCTGAAACAGCAAGAACCCAACCCACTTCTCATGCAACACAAAATGAAATCTGATAAATAAAACCCAATGTATTTGGTTTTATACTTGCAAAGATGCACGCTTTTCTCTGGTCATTTGTTTAAATTATGAATGGATAAAGATTTCTGGACCAGGCATTTTTAACCGAATACATCAGAAAAACTAATTTCACAAAATGTAGTCTGAGCATCAAACAATATATCCTCTTACAAGGTTTAAGCCTAATCATTTACAAAAGTCCAAATTATGTAGCGCATGATTTGGCCAACATACCTAACTATGGTATGACCATTCTCAGTTCTTCCAGGTTTAAATTGATTGCCCCAAGTTTCCTACCCATAATTGGCTACTTTACAAATGCAGTTTATAGAAAGCAAGTGTTTTGAAAGGACAGTTCCTAACACAAAGCACATTAAGACAAGGATGACAGGCGGAAACATTTGACAACAAATTAACGAAAAGACCTCAAAACACATCCAAACCATTAAGAATCACAGCAAAGGATTATTTAGGGGATTATCTCAATGAACGTGATAATTTCATGAAAAAGAATTTCCTAAATCACTTATTGAAGAGTTTCTTCTTGAAAACATTGTCAGCAGGCTTATAAACTCATGTCACTGTATGGCATCCATGAGGACAAGGCTGAACAAACCCATCTGCCAGAATACAGACAACAGCCAGCAATATACGCTGGGGAGCAGAGGTTTAGCTCACGTACTAACCTTAATCAAAGAAACAGCGTAACAAAAATAAGCATACTTTTATTAAAGCGGGTTGTCAAAAGAAATACCTTCAAAAATACTTCAGCAAAGTCTTTTTAAATGTATTAGATATGTATATGAAGGAAAATCAAATCCCCATGTCACCAAAACCACGTTTCTCATATAAATTTTCTGTTGTGGCAAGTTTAAATGCCAGACATGGTTTAAAAAGGACAAGCAATTGATCCTTCATCATAACAATCACTTGGGGAAAAAAAAAAAAAAAAAAGATTGATGATTACTTGTTACAACAGACAAGTTGGATAATCTAGTCTCTTTTTTACACTATATCCTCAGTTGTTAGATGGTGCTTTCTTCTGCTATTAGGAGTCTCAACTTCAGGTATTTTATTACTATCACGAAAATACACAAGTTTTTATGAGAACCGAAAATGGTAATCTCGATTCCCCTTACAGTACAGCGATAAGTTAAGGCTAAATAGAACCAGCCAATGCGCAAGTGTAATAGTGTTTGACCATGGTAGCTGCTTTGTGAAAATGAGTACCGTGCTGTATTTTTTTTCTGCAGTTCTATACTTCCAAATAGTTAAAATGCTTTACCTCAGTCACCATAAAATCAAGAAAATAACTTAGAGGCAACAGGCTGCACTTAATTTCTAATGCCATACTAAGTATGGGATAGCAGCTCCCTTATAAACAATGACCATACGGTCTGGTTACTCTCCTCGCACATTAAGTAGACTACAATTGTACTTCCCAATATATTTTTTCCATCAATGTATTTAATAACGGACTGACTAGCAAATTAATTATGCATTCATTACTATGCACATGTAGGATATTTTACTCTTTTTTTTTAAAATCCACTTTAGTCACCTCAATTCCCAAACAGTACTTTTTCCACAGGTTCCTTTTTCCCCTTTAAGGTAAAACTGTCTTCTGTAAAACTAAAAAACTCCTGGCATTCAAAGGAACATAGGATGTCTGTGAAGGTAAAATTTAATCTTACAATACCATGCCCACCCCTCATCCCTTCAAGAATATTACTCCAGATGACGGACCAAGAATAGTCCCAAACAACAACGTTCAGACACTTTTGGATCTACTTTTTCCCCTAGACTGATTTTGTAAAGACCAGAGCTATTACCATACAATTGTCACCATACAGTCTACATTTTCATAGTTTCTGATAAGATTTATGCTTTGAAATGAGAAATTCTATGAAGAAACATTGCAATTAGAGTTCAGCTCTAAGTACCAGGAAGAATTTTTCTGCTTCTACACACGCCATGGATTTGCTTTGCAAGCACTGTCAAAAATCAGCCAATTATTTAGACTAAAAAGAAATACTTTTTTAACATAAGGAACTCACTTCTGTTGTCAGTTTTTCCATAAATTTTTATATCTATAGCTTTAACAGTAAGACTTGCTAAAGAAGCAACCCAACATCCTCAAATTCTTGTTATACACATAGTCTTTGGATGGATTGATAATGAATGAAAGTCTCCCAGATGGCTTTGTCTGTAATCTGTAATAATTGCAATATCATAAAGTGTTTTTCATGTGATGCACAGTTTCATATGAAAAGGTTCTTACAGATAACCATAATGCAATATTAATTTTAAATAGTTAAAGTCTGAAAACTCTATATAAAAAATTTTTCAAATAAACCCCCACCATTATCTTGCAGAACAGACATATGAACAAAGAAACCAACTCTCTAAAATCCTTATGAATTAAGAAAAATCCATGTATTTCAAGGAAGCCTTAAAATATTTTCTCCCACATAAATTCACCTTTGCATTTAACTTCAGAGTGATGAGATGCTGTCGACCACAAGAGTCTTCAGCTTTCAGCTTGATTGTGGCAAGACCAGTATCGACGTATGCAACTCTGGAAGAGAAAAGAAGACTCTAACAACATTGTAAGAAGTACAGTTTGAAATGTCTGCAATACTCCTATTAGTCTGTTACAAATAGTAATCAGAGGAAGTCCTATATGGCAACCATTTCTGCTGTTCTAGATTTACTGCTGTTAATACACCAGTCTACTGCTTAATGCAGTCATATATCTTTGGGTTATTTACAATGTGTGTCAAGGCTCATGCTGTGGTCAGTGAGCACTGTGTTTCAGTTTTCCATCACTGAAACCTTTGACACACACAGCATGTTCCTGTCAGCCTCTACTTATGTACACATTAAACTTCCTGTCAAATCTTTGATCCATTTCTGCAGTTTCTTACTGTAAGAGACTTTTATGTTCTTGATTTGCTTTTCTCTTCAATGAAATTCTCTTTTATTATCAATACTATTATTGTGGAAAATTCAGTGGATATTGGTTCATATTCTAAAATTGATTTTCTGCAGAAAATAGTACCCAAACACGTACGAAATGAATTATTTATGATGATTTGCCTTCATTTCACGACAGTTTTACACAGTATACATGCACCCAAGCAAGTAGCAAGTACATACTAAACGTAAATAAGTTTTAAAACTTCTGACATAATCACTGACTCTTTGCTTAAGATGTCACTGATTTGTGCTTCCCGCAACAATGAAGATGAATACAATTGTAAAATACATTGGTTTCTAGAAATATGTTCTGCTGAGTAGCTTCAACAACTGCCCAAAAGGTTCAAGCTTCTCCATATATTTACCAGTGAACTGGGCCTGTGGATATTTTGGCATTTTTACTATGTCATTCTTGTGTAAAGATATACAGCAGTCCAAGATTACTGTACAACTTATCACCTAGACTGATGGAAAGGCCTATCAAAGAAAGCATCTGCTCGCTGGCCTCAGTAACTTTTTTTTCTTTTAACCATTACATACTAGTAACCAGTCACTCGAGCCAGCATGCTGGGAAACACGGTTCTCTTTCCAGTGAAACTGGCAACAGAGTTGTAGAAGCCTGTACAAGAAAAAGTAGACATAGACCACATTCCTAGGAAGGAAGTGAAAAGAAGAAAAGAAAGTGATCTACAAAAGTGACACGGCCTTAATATAAGGGAACTGAAAAATACAGACGGAAAAAGCAGTAGTGGTAGTAAGTAGGGAAAAAAGATACATTATTTCATGTTTAATGCTGATTAACTTTGATGCAGTATTAAATAGTCCTACAGATTCCTGGGAGTATTTTGACACTCCCTTTCTCCACAACAGTTGAAAGAAATACATGTCTTGATAAAAGTGTATTTAAATTGTAGTCAATGAAACTTGACTTATTTAGAAAGAATTAGAGCATTCTTCCTCTAATTGGAAAAAAAAAAAAATATCATCACTCCTACTTTGTTCCGACTTTACCTCAAAATTAGATCACAAAATTTTATAAAGACAAGAAACTACCCATATCCCAGCCCTCCATCTACTGTTGCCTGGGGTGG